AATTCAGTTATGGGATGAAATCGGATAGGGATGAAATCGTTTAGGGATGAACGGATTTAAGAGTTTTAAGAGTTTAAGAGTTTTTAAGAGTTTTAGCCAAATGCTTTATAATATAGTATAGATATATATAAGTTATTATGCAACCTTTTACATTTGTATTACCAATATAACTCAATCTCAACCGTTCATTTAATTTGATGAGTATGTGATTTCATAAAGTTTTTGATTGTTTTCCAATATAAAATATTGATCATAATTAATGAACTCTAGTTATCTTACATAAATATTCAAATCATAATAAAATTAACTCTCATCATTTTCATAAATATCTCAATTAATTGTGTTGCATTGGTTGTATAAATGGACATGGTTGTATTTGAAATGTACCTTATATATGTATGTATATATATATATATATGTGTGTGTGTGTGTGTGTGTGTTTATATAGGGACCTTTGAGAATACAAAAAATTGTGATAAACGTAAGAACTAATGTATCATGTGTAATTTTATATGATTTTTTTTTCTAATGTACAGTTTGGATTTGGTATATTGATTAACATATATTTGTTTCACAATGTGAATATTTTTTGTGTGTTTATGAAACAAAAAATACAACTAAAAAGTTTCACATTATGAACTGAATACATATGAAACAAAGATGTTGTAAACCAGATATATATAAATCAATATATTAAATTTTAACCTTATATGGAAAAAAATCATGTGAAATAATCTCATGCGGTAATAGGTCTCACAGTTTTTACAATATATGGGGTTCTTAAATGATTAAGTCTCTCTCTCTCTCTCTATATATATATACATATATATATATATATAGAGAGAGAGAGAGAGAGTCTGGTTCAAATGTTAGCCAAGTTTTTTGTGTTAACTTTTTTAACAATTTTTAACCAATGGCAATCCATCTTATATATAGGTTCATATTCATTTTATAATTTAACGACAAGGGTAAGTATGTAATTTTCTTTTTTATATAACTCCCATATCATTAATTGAATGCAACAAAATCAATAAATTCCATGATTTTTGTTAATTTATTATTGATCATGTTTTTTTTATAATATTGATTTTTCTATCTATAATATTTTTGAATTTGTGATTGATAGAGGAGACCCAGTAATAGAGTTTTCGGTATCGTTCAAGCTATTATGAATAAACTCATTGTTTATAATGAATGAACTATTGTTCACAAGTATTCATATTGTGTTCATATATACACTAGCTGCATATCTCAACATTGGCTCATTCATGAATGTGTTCATAATGAATGAACTATTGTTTATAAGCTGTTCATATTGTGTTCATATGTACACTAGCCGCATATCTCAACATTGGTTTGCTCTTGAATGTGTTCATAATGAAGGAACTATTGTTCACAAGTGTTCATATTGTGTTCATATGTACACTAGTTGCATATATCAACACTGGTTCGCTCTTGAATGTGTTCATAATGAATGAACTATTGTTCACAAGCTGTTCATATTGTGTTCATACCTGTTTTTTTATTTATTTCCTTGAGTGTAGCAACTATTTTTATTATGTTCATAAATGTCATGCAATCCAAGTTCATATATATATATATATATTTTTGTACCTTGTTCTTAATTAAGGTCTTAACGTACGCATACGTGCATACATATAATACCAAGAGTATATTGGAAAATTCTTGAAAGTTGTTTTCGATTTGTGGGGTTGTTTCAAAAACGTATATAATCATCACATAAGTTATTTTTTTGACGTAAGATAAACAGTATTATCATGTAATTGTCCATATCTGGTTCTACATATGAACATGATATAAGGGTGACCAATGGTATATACGTGTGCTTTAAATATTAGTTGAGTGATTGTTAATCAAACTACATCAATGTCAATTGACGGTTCCGTCTTTTATTAAAGTTACATACGACACGTTAAATTTTTAGTAACTTGACCAATCCATATCTATAAACAGCTATCATATCGATAAACAGCTAAATATTACTACATACGTACATAATACATACAATTCTTAATTTGACAGATACAAGTTGTGTTAAATATAAATTAACAACAAAAATGGTGTCTAATTGGTTTGAGTTTATGCTCCAAAAGTCAAAAGTGTTTGGAGGTCCCAGGTTCAAATTTAAGGAAGAACACAAATTTTCTTGTAGCCATTGAGGTTCAAATGTTGTGACTCCAAACCACCACAAATAGAGATGGCCAAATGGGTCCGGCCCGGGACTGGTTATAGGCCTGGATCGGGAACATGCTTGATTTAAAAAAAAATATTTTTAAATGTATTTTCTAGCTTTCTAAGTGTATTTCATTGAAAATCAATTATATAACTATAATAAAATGTAATTTTTACATATATTTGATTGAAAATTCATTATAAAACTACAATAAAACATATTTTTTTAAGTGTATTTGATTGATCTAATTCGATATTTAAAAATGTATTAGAATAACATTAAAGTATTTTAAAATTTTATCAAAAAAAATATAAAAAGAAAATGTTTTTTTAATATAAGACCCGTTTGGGCCCGGCCCAGGACCATGACCGGTTACAACTACCCTTAACCGAAACCTTAGTATTTTCGACGGGACCGAGACCAGTTATGAGCATCACTGTTCCGATTCGGGATTGGATTTTGGCCATCACTACCCACAAAACATGTAGTCGTTCTGAGATTAGTCGACTCGCATAGCTGATTAGATATCCAGATCAATAGGAAAAAAAATGTGAAGACAAATTATATAACACAGGAACCAAAAAAATCTAATTTACTATTTATTTATCATTTTTGTTTTGATTGCATTTTAATGTGACAAAACCCAACAGTTGTCACCAAGAATAAAATACAACTACATATTTATAAACATATTGACTTTTGATCTCCCAATCAAAACTTACTTTTTCCAGATAACTTTACAAGCATAACTACATAATGTACAAGTCATTACAGCACAACTCTTCTGGATTCCACAATTTAAGCTCTGGTAAAGAAGAATTCATTTCCCATATAAATGGGTGTTGTTTACAAATGCTGTTTCATCAACACAAACACACACACACAAAAGAAAAGAAAACCCTGCATTAAGGAGTTGTACTCATGGCAATAGAGATTGTACAACCAAGTGTTGCTGGGTTATCAAAGATTGCAGTTTCAGAAACTCATGGAGAAAACTCTCCATATTTTGCTGGTTGGAAAGCTTATGATGAAAACCCTTATCATGAAATGCATAACCCTTCTGGTGTCATACAGATGGGGTTAGCTGAAAACCAGGTAACCATCACTAATGCACCAGATTTCATCAGAACTTTGATAATAAGTCTGCATGTAGACTTAGACGCCGTTCGGTTGCGGCTTAATGGGCTGTACAACCATATATAACTGTTCGGTATTGGCTTATTCGGTCAGCCCGTGGCTGAATCGCTGAGCTAACGTTTCACGGGTTTTTGTTCTTTTTGGGCAGGTTTCGTTCGATTTGGTCGAAAAATACTTGGAATCCAATCAAGAAGCAGCAAGCTGGGGGAAGAAGGTTTCTGGGTTTAAAGAGAATGCTTTGTTTCAAGATTACCATGGATTGTTGAGTTTCAGAAAGGTACAACATTTTTAACAGGATGTACAACATTTTGGTTTTAAACCATAAGGGTGGTGTCTGATTGGTTTGAGCTTGGCTCCAAAGGTCGAAAGTACCAGGAGGTCCAAAGTTCAAATCCAAGGAGGAATAAAAATCCTCTTGTGGCCACGGAGTTTCAAATGCGGTGACTACGGGCTATCTGCAAAGCAGATGATTGCCCTGAAATTAGTCGGCTCGCATAGCGGGTTGGATATTCAGGTTAATAAAAAAACACATTTTGGTTTTATAGGCAATGGCAAGTTTTATGGAACAAGTGAGGGGAGGAAAAGCGAGATTTGACCCCGAAAGAGTCGTTTTAACAGCGGGTGCAACCGCCGCCAACGAGCTTTTAACCTTCGTTTTGGCCGATCCCGGTGATGCGTTGCTTGTCCCGACTCCTTACTATCCCGGGTATGAAAGATTTCTTGATAAACCAGATATTTCTACTTCAATATATGTTGGAATCGTTCTTTTCAATACGTCAAAAATGTCTAAATTTCTTGATAAACGGTTTTATATGACCTAGGGATTGTTTGACAGTTGATGAATGATTTGATGCAGAATGATTAAGTGGTCAATAATGATTAGGAGACTCTCATGATATAGTGTAAAATGAAATATAATTGTTTGGTGATTGTTTACGATGAAATTAGACGCTGAATGGTTAAGGGAGACATATGATACAAAATCATTCAGATGGTCTTATAATTATTAAGAGACATATTTTTTTTTTTTGCCAAACAAGATTCACCTCTTAACGATTCCGATGGCTGGAATGTATATTGACCTGTTTTTTAAAAGTAATCTGATGGGATTTCGTATAATTTGTGGAACTAACATATATTTTTACAGATTTGACAGAGATCTGAGATGGAGAACCGGTGTCGAAATCGTTCCGATTCACTGCGAAAGCTCGAACAATTTCCAGGTTACGCCACAAGCCCTAGAATCAGCATACGATCATGCAACGTCGATGAACATGAAAGTAAGAGGGGTTCTGATAACGAACCCTTCGAACCCGTTGGGTGCAACCATCCAACGGAAAGTTCTAGAAGAAATCCTAGATTTCGTCACACGAAAAAACATCCACCTAGTATCGGACGAAATCTACTCGGGATCGGTCTTCCACTCCAACGAATTCGTCAGCATTGCGGAAGTACTCGAATCGAGAAACTACAAAGACTCGGAACGTTGCCACATCGTTTATAGCCTCTCGAAAGATCTCGGCCTTCCGGGGTTCCGAGTAGGGACGGTGTATTCTTACAACGATCAGGTAGTGACGACGGCCCGAAGAATGTCGAGTTTCACGTTGATTTCGTCGCAAACGCAGCTTCTGTTGGCATCGATGTTATCGGATAACGAATTCACCGAGAAATATATAAAGATCAATCGAGAAAGATTGAGGAAGAGATACGAAACGATCGTTGCGGGGTTGAAGAAGGCCGGAATCGAGTGTTTGAAAGGGAACGCCGGGTTGTTTTGTTGGATGAATTTGAGTCCTTATTTGTCGGAAAACACAAAATCCGGTGAACTGGAGATTTGGAAGACGATCATGGAGGAAGTGCGGTTGAATATCTCGCCGGGAAGTTCTTGCCGGTGCTCGGAAGCCGGCTGGTTTAGGGTTTGCTTTGCAAATATGAGTGAAGAAACACTTGAAGTTGCATTGTCGAGATTGCATGAGTTTATGGATAGAAGGAGAAGAGATCGGAATTTGTTGTCTGTTTTGTAATTTTCCATTTAAAACCTTTTTGTTTTTTTCTTTTTCTTTTTATTTTTTGAGAGATTTTTAAGGTGAAAACCCCAAATTAAGAAATTATACAAAATACTTCTTATTTTTTTTATTAACCTGGATATCCAACCTGTTATATGAGTCGACTAATCTCAGGTCGACCACCTACTTTGCAGATAGCCTGAAGTCACCGCATTTGAACCTTCGTGGCCACAAGGGGATTTTTATTTCTCCTTAGATTTGAATCTGAGACCTCCTGATACTTTTGACTTTTGGAGACAAACTCAAACCAATCAGACACCACCCTTGTGGTTTAAATACTTGTTTATACAAACATGAGATTATACAAAGAGATATTATTCATTGGGATGGGTATCTGATAGGGATTCCTAAGTTTGACGGGTTACGGGACGAGATTTATTTTCATATCCGGAATGAGATCAAGATGGGTCGGAGATTGCATTACCCGGCCCTAATCGGACCCAATTAAAATTTTATTATTATTTAGTATATGTATATAATGTATGTGTGTGTGTGTATATATATATATATATATATATGTATGTATGTATGTGTGTGTGTGTAGAGAGAGAGAGGGGGGAATGATCATGCATGAAGTTTCAATATCATAGATGATTAAAAATACAACATGTGTTTAATCATATATGATGGAATTTGTATATCGTGTGTTTAATCATATATGATATTGAAGCTTCATAGCAAAATGTTTAGTTTCTCGTTTGAACTTCCCCCCACATATATAGTTTTATTATATGGCAGGTATATTAGATTTTCGGTATTGGTAATTAATGTAGTCAAGATTCATTATAATTTTAATTTCAAAATGATTGTTTTTTATTAAACGGGTACCCAGTAGGTTCTACAAACCCGTCGAGGATTAGTCGGGCCAAGGACGAGCTAGGGCATTAAAAAAGGTCGGGGATGAGGGATACATTACCCGTCCTGTTTCTATCCCTACTTGTATGCACCTCTACTAATTTTACATTAATTTTTTAATTCTTTTGAAAGACGATTGAAATAAAAAAAAACAAACCAAAACAAAGTCAAGACCCCCGAACAGATAATGAAGAACTGCGAGATGCAGGACCATGAGGGAGCAGAAGAAGCAGGGAACCACGAAAAACCAAAAGCATCAGCGAGAAGGCTGTAGAGACAAGATTCAAAAAGCACAGACCCAGCTCAAGGTTGTAAGTAAATAATTTTTATTGTTGTTTATCTGTAAAATCTCGAATAATCTCATTTTGTGCTAGTTTGGTGGTGTTTATTTTAATCAAAATACCTCTTAATGAGCTATGATCTCTTACCGAATAAGAGATTCAATATTTCAGATTGTTTGTCTTTTTTCTTTTCCAACAAGAGCTGAAAACATCTAATATCATCTTATTCAATAAGTGAAAAACCTAAGTCTGATTGTCCTCTTATTAAATATAAACAAATAAAATGGGATAAAATACTGAAATATGATAGAGGGGGTGATGGACGAGATGAGAAACTGGGATGGTGGTTCAACGACGGAGATCGGCAGAGCAAGTAGCATGGTGGAGGAGATCGGCGGAGACAAGAGGTGTGCAGGTAACCACGTGGTTGAGACAAGAACAGTGGTGGTGAAAGTTGTCTCTTGACGTAAAATTAAACATACTTCAGTTTGAGTCCTTCAGTTAAATGACCATTTCTCTCATTCAAATTGGTCTTATAACCATTTCTCTCATGAGTTGACTCAAATGTCACTACTTCCGCAATATACAGGTCCGCAAAATACCAAAAATTCAACACAAATATACAATTGCGATGGCCAGATATGCAATTGTGACGGCGAGGTCCACAATTGTGACTGTACACTGGTTGCAGTTGACATTATTTTGTCTTTTAGATATTATAGACCTGGTTATTATGGATGTAGTGACATTTGGGTCAACCGGGAAGATAAAATGGTTATGAAGCCAATTTGAACGAGGGATATTATCATTTGAGCTAATTTCTCCTTCAATTTGGTGTTTTCTTTTTTTGGTGTTTAGTTGTTTCTTTCTTGTGTCAGCTAAAGAAAGAAGGAAGTAGAAGAGGCAAACGTCGTTCAAAAAAGAAAGAAGAAGGAGAATAGGCATGAAATGACATAAAGAATGTGAGGCTAATAAAGGCCAGTGAAATGTCTTCAGCACTTCTTAAAAAACAAGTGTTATTTTAGATTTTTAAGAACATCTCTAATAGCTATGCTATAATCTTTTTAAATAGTGTATGAAAAAAATGAAACTTCTGTAAAAAATTATATCCAACTCAAACAACAATTCTATTTTATAAATTTTAAAATAAACTATATTAATAAAATATTATTTGTCACAAACATTTAATTTCAATAACTTTATTGGCAACAAATATTGATATTCTCTCTCTCTCTCTCTCTCTCTCTCTCTCGAAAGAGATAGAGAGAGAGAGAGAGAGATTTCTCTTAATTTGGAGATTGTCATATATTAGCTTTCTCCTTTTCTCTATTTTAGCATAATTGTTGGAGCAAGAAAATTGTAAAATACCCAAAATCTTTATTTTAACATATCTGTTGGAGATGCTCTAACCATACTCTCTTAATTTGTCTCCGTAAGAGACCTTTCACTCGACTTTCTTTTTGCATTAATTTTTTTATAAACCGGGTATCATTTGTGGACTCATAGCTTGAATCGAAAGCGACATTTTTTTGAAATCGTTTCTTTTATTTCAAGATCTACAAGCAGATAATCTGTGAATTTAGATCATCATAACTTGTTTGTAAACATCTCATAACTGCTTTCATAGCGAGCTTTGAGAGGACGTAGCTCTTGACTCGTAATTTGGACTGAGATATATTTTCGAAGTTGCTCGTTTTTTTAAGATATACACGCAACTGAGATTTGAGAATCGAGACCATCATAAGTCGTAACCAACTCATAATATCATGGTAAATATTTCATAAACCATTTTTGCAGTGGGCTTCAGGAGGTTGTAATTATTGATCCATAACTCGAATAGAAACCATTATATTTACTATTAGCAAAAAATAATCAAGTTATTAATGTCCAGATGAAACAAAAAAATAATCATATAATAAATTGTTTAGAAATGGATTTATTTGATTGGTTCATCTTCCAAACATTCATAATCTAGATGTAATCGTACCAGATATTGTCCGTTTTGTTCACACCTAGACTCACAGTTTTAAAACACATATGTCCCCCTTCCTAACTGATGTGGGATCTTACAATCCACTTCCTTATGGAGCCCAACGTCTTCGTTGACATACCAATCTTGTTCCTGATTTTGATACCATTTGTAACATTCCAGGCCAAACATACTAGATATTGCTCGTTTTGTCCACACCTGGACTCACAGTTTTAAAACGGATATGATAGAGGAGGTATCTGGTGCCTTCTAAGGCAATATTTATTCCCCTCCCGAATCGATGTAGGACCTTGCATAACCAGTTCATAATCCCATCGTAAGCATTTGTAACCATTTTTCGTAGTAAACTATCTGGAGGGATAACTGATGACAAGTAACTTGGATCGAAATCTTATTTTATGAATCTAGTTTATTTCTCCAAGATATACAAGCTGGTAAAATTTGTTAAGCTAAGGGGCCGTTTACCAAACACTTACCCGGTAAAACGTTTATCGGTAAATTTAACGCTATTATTTACTTTTCGGATAAGATTTTAGTCCACCAAAACGATATCGTATGCAACAATTTACTCGGTAAGCGCTTATCGTGGTAAGAGTCGTCGTCTTCACTTACGGGGTAAGACTCTTGGTCCTTATCTCGCTCTTACCGGGTAATATTCTTGATCTTTACCATATTCATCCGGTAAGGTAAAATGACTTGGTGTTCACTTACCCGAGTAAAACGTTTGGTAAACGGCCCCTAAATTTTTTTTAAACATTCGATAAATGGTCGTAAACTATTTCACGAAAAATTTGATAATCATTTTTTTTTTGCAGTAAGAACTTCAAAAGATCGTAACTTTTGACTTGTAATTCGAACAAGATGATTATTTACATTGCTTAGTTTTGTCAAGATAAACACGCTTGCAAAATTTAAAAATCTATATTTGTCGTAAATGATCGTAAAATAAATAAGAGAGGAAAATTATTTTAACGATATATAAAGCAAATAAAACATAGAGTAGATTACGTTTTTTTTTTATTAACTTGGATATCCAACTCGTTATGCGAGCTGACTAATTCCCGAACGACCATCTGCTTTGCGGATAGCCCGAAATCACCGCATTTGAACCTCCGTGGCCACAAGGGATTTTTATTTCTCATTGGATTTGAATCTGGGACCTCCAGACACTTTTGACTTTTGGAGTAAATTACATTTTTTGTTTATGCAGTTTGTTAGAAACGACTATTTTGTTTTGTAATATGTGTATTCGAAAATTTTAGTTTTCGTTCGTATGATTTACAAAATTTTGTTTTGTAGTCTATGTGGTTTACAATTTATTGTTGTTATCGTATGTCGTATACTCATACTTAACAATAAACTAGTTGTGTACCTGCGCAATGCGGCGGAAGCCGTGAATTTTAACGATTTGAAGTTTCACTGTTTTATTAGAGAAGATTTAACAATGATATAGGTTACATTTGTTCTTTACATATTAATACAATTTGAATAAATAAGAGTTATGGTTCCAATTACAGTCTATTGATGGAAAAAATTGTATGATAGTTTAAAATCCAACATATTTAAACGACTCCACAAATGTGTTCGATTTACAACAAGAGCAAATAATCAAGAGATCGAGAGTGAGTATAACGCCCTATACTTAGATTAAAAAAAAAAAAGATTTCTGGCAAAAATTCGGCATGACCCATACGAAAAGTCGTGATTTGCCATTTTTTTTACCTGAAAACATTTGCAGATGTAATGATTGCAAAATAACTGACCATACAAAAGCTATGATTACTAACTAGTCTTTATAAAGACGACTATTTACAAGGTATAAAACTTTCATATTCTTCCAAAAAAATACAGTTTCCCAAACTAGATTAAGCTTCCAAAAGTCCCAAGCATTGCATCATCCTATGAACTTACCTGCTAGCCTTATAATAACCAAGAATGTTGCTAGCACAATCACTTGAACCAGTTCCTGAGATGCACGTCGACAAACAAAACAAGTCAGGCTACATGCCTGGTGAATTCAAGAATTTTCACAATATAATATTTCAAGTAATATATACTATCAAACAAAAATGCATGACTTACCTATAAATGTTAAGTTCAACCAAATCATTATAAGTAAGCAGCCAATCAATATTTACAAAGTTCTATGAATACCACACAGTATGGGGGTGACCCATAACAACCGGAATCAGTGGAGGAGCACTACTCAGCAGTCCACTTATCCGTTAGACTAATTTCGGTATAATCACCATTGCGCAATGTGTCCACCTGACACTATACCTATTAGCCGAGTACCTGGCGCATATATATCCATACACGGTACTCCAATACATTACCAATTGGAGCAACCCATTTACTGTAAAGGGAGCGACCCCAATACAAACGCAACAAAGGGGGTGACCCTAAGTCGCCAGATCTGGATCTACCATTCTCATTTCAGTGAGTAAATATATAAATCACAATGCATTCTTAATATGTATAAAGTCACTTTGTATAAACATCAATACCTTCATTTCATAACATCATTTAAAATCATGCATTTTCTACTTTAATCACTAAAATACGTCAAATAAAGTAAATTATGTAAAGGTAATTACGTTTGACGTGTACCTCATTAAAATCTACTTGAAACTCACCTTAGCCTATTTAGTTGAGATCCACCCGGTGCCCAACTTGCTTATCCACCGTGCTACCTAAACAATCCACACGCACGGTTCTCACATCAATACAAAYATCCTAACAAAAGATTTAGACGACTTACTTATCTTAATATACATACCGACAAGAACCACTCAAAAATGGACTTTGAACCTTTTCATACATGGGTTTAGAAGAAACAAAACTTTCATTTGAGTCAAAAATGGACAGYTGTGCAAAAACTCATTTTTTTGACCTATTTAGAGCCCTAACTACCTCATGATCAAAACATATTGATTGTAGAAGCTTTCATAACAGTTCCAGATTGATATTACACGTCTAAATCCGAGTTACGAGTGATTTTATACAATTTTTACAAATTTTCAGCACCAACTAACTTAGTCCGATAACTTGCTCATATTTCACCCGAGGCTCTTGGTTCCTATTCTAACCTTCAAAACATGCTTAACATACACTTTAAAATATGTTTAGAAGGTTCACACATTCAATGTTGCACTTACAACCTAACTAATGCATAGGCTTTCACATATTGATCAAACCGAACTAAAAAAAACTTTTAACTTTGAAAATCCATCAAAACCCATAAGAAACATTGAAAGGATCATTGTAACACCTTTTTATGCTTATGATAACTATATCCAYAGAATTTCAATCCTTAATTTCGCATAAAACGACTCAATGTTATAATTAAGCAAAACAGTTTGACTTTTTAGAAAAAATCAACTGTTTTGAATATAACCTTTAATCTAGCATCAAAAACATGCTTGAGTGGAAACTTTCTTCTTCATTCCATCTAATAAYATTTTAATGATACCAACAAACAAACCATATCAAACATCTTAACATTTTTATGATGATTTCAATGTCTTAAAGTTCATCACTAAACTTTGACTTTTAAAGATTGTCAAAGATAATAATTTATCAACTTCCACTCATGATTGAACACCTTAGGTGAACTCAAAACTATCCTAAACATGAAGTAAACTTACCCAACAAAATACTTCTACTATCAAGATGTATAACACCCACTTTGTTCCAATCCTTGAAGGATTTTAGGTTCCAATGCAACAAAGTAAAGATATAACACATTTGGACTCAATTGGGGCTTAATGTACATCATAAAACCGGGTCTTCAACAGAAATTACACATATACACGGCTGTCCTCTYATGACAGCCGACTAAAACTCGATTTTGAGCCCTAAAAACCCAAAAATTGAATCTAATACTAACCTAAACATCAAATATGTCAAGAAATCAAACTAAAACATAGAGAACTTACCTTAATTTGTAGGAAACAAGTTTGAAGCCCTAGATGTCTTCCATCGCCATTTTCTTCCTTCTTCCGACTTCTTCAAAACCTTCTTTTTTTTTCTTTTCTTTAAAACCCCTATTTATATTAATACTAAATTAAGGGATGGACATTATAACCCCCTAGATTAACACTATAAAACAATTCTACTCCAAACTTTCAAACAACTAAATATTTATCTAACCTGTTAGAATGGGATGTTACAGTGAGAGCGAGAGTTCTAGAGCAATTAAATGAGATAACTTTTAATAACTCATGAATATCAGTTTGAATCTCACGTTGGGGGGTTGGGGAGAAGACATAGAGATGTGAGAGGGTGAAGACATGAGTGAAAGGTGTCAAAAGTATCTTGAAAACATGAAAAGAAAAGGTAATAATGTGCATTGGTAACTTGTACTATATGTTATTTTAATTGTAGATTAAAATATTTTAAGACTGAATGCATAAAGTAGTAATACTTAATGCATTATGAGTTGTTTTTAAGACTTTGTGCATAAATATATAGTATTTATGCATTAAAAATTGTTTTTAAGACTTTTGATAAATCTGGTTTATAAGATAGTATAAATAATTGTTGGAATTAACCTCAGGATGAAAAACAACAATAAATTGTAAACATAGAGACTAAAACCATAATTCAAAAACATAAAAGACAAAAATAGCAATTTCAAACAAACTAGAGGGATGAAAATTGTAATTTACTCAAAGATATTTTGTGAAGAAAAAGTGAAAGGGGCATAAATTTAGAAGAGCGAAAGTGAAAGCATAAATTTGGGAGAGGCATATTTTTGCGATTTGATGCTTACATAATCATAGAAATGGTAATCTCTCGACAATCACTTTGAGAAGGAACTGTGTGATCGTAAAAACGAGCTTAAAATCACTTTGAGATACGATCTTTCTCTCTCATCGTGCACAAGTCCAAAGCTTCTCTCTCGGAGACGTTTTACAGGTGATCGGCGAGAGAAGCAAAGGCCTCGGATCGGCTTTGCTTTCATCACTTTCTGATTTGAGGTACACACTATCTCCATGAGTCATCATATACATTGTTTGTCTCTTCACTTTTCGCGTTTTGGGGTTTGTGTTTTGTTAGGTTTTTTGATACGATTTGCTTAGATCTATTGCTGCCATGTATTGTATTGTAGTTTTATGTCGTTTTACGATTGTCTGTGTGTGAATCTGTGTAAATTTGAAATGATTGATTGGTGGTAAGTGGTTTGCGATTTAGGGTTTTGATTATAGTCGAATTTTCTACGAGTTTTGAACTCTATTTGTGTTTGAGGCTTGATTGACCGGTTGAGTGTGGGTTTCATATAATTAGTTTGATGTGAATTCAAGTATGTGAGAAGATTTTTTCATATTAATTGATTGTACATTTGTTGGGTATAATAATCAGCTAAGCCTGATGGGGTTTATTCTTTCTACAAAATAGATTACTCTCTATAATCCAAATTGAAAAAGCATATAACTTCAATTTTGTAATCATCCGCCTCACTGGAATCCCCTTTCTGAACTTCAAGAAGAGCAAAATTATTGGAGTGTGAGGCCTAACTCGAGAAGCAATTTACACTGTAAAGGACTCTTGTTTTGACCTTCTTTCATTGGTTGGGAAGTGGATTATTGTTTGTCGAAAGATGAGTATCTGTTAAATTTATAGCAACAAGTGTTAGGTATGTAAATGAGACCTTTTGTTGGTAATAATGAATGATGATACACCATTAATGTCAAATTTGCAAGCACTGTTTCAATGTTGGTCTAAATTGAGGCATTGTGTGCTCGTTAATAGTTCCATTTTCCTGACTTGTCTACTTAGATGCTAGTGGAGGTCGATTACCTAGTGTATTTACTATAACACTACTGATTGCTCAACTGGATTTCACTACTTTTATACTAACAGTGCCTTTTTAACCCTGTCAAAAAAAGTAAGAAATATAATTTTTTTTTGGGGGGGGRGGGGGGGGGGGGGGGGGGAACTATCAGTTGCAGTTTTAAATAGCTTGGTCTGGTTTTGGTAGTATGAATTCATGGTTTTCGTATTTATCTATTTTTTAATCTTTCTGTATTTGATTATTAAAGATTTTATATAATTGGATGGATGATTCTTTTGTGTTATTAATACAATTATGTGTGTATTGTCTCATATTTGGATGTTCAATTCACCACAGTAGGCGTCAATTGCAGTTAGGATGGCATCAAAATTGAAGCAATTGCAATCTAAGGCAGGTCAAGCATCACAATTTTTGTCCAAGCATGGAACTACTTACTACAAGCAGCTGTTGGAGCAGAACAAACAGTACATTCAGGAGCCAGCCACTGTTGAGAAATGCAATGAGTTGTCCAAACAGTTGCTCTACACTCGTCTTGCCAGGTTAACTCTATGGACCTTGTGTCTTGATTTAAGTTGAATTTCTATTCTACTTGCCATTTCATGAAGCCATGGTCAATACACAAGCATTTTACGTTATAGTTTGATGCTATTTGTGTTTTCTTAATTATTTCTGGTTCTACATGTAGCTAACTTCATAGTTTGACTCGTTATTCATCAATACATTTTGTTGTTGTTCCTAAACTGTTGCATATGCTGATAACACAACACGTGGGATAGTGAAGTGCATGTGAAAAGTTTGTTCTGATATCGTATGTTAACACACAATAATGTTACTTTAGAGGTTATTTATTTTGAAACCAAATTCGCCTGAATTAGTATTTACGGTTAGAAATAACATTGTGTATTTGAGGAATTTTGTGTTTACACCCTCAAGATTTGGATTTTTTATTCAATCTAATCTTTCCAGTTGGGTGCCTACTTTAAAACCAATATTGAGCTTAAGGCCTTGATTTCTAGGGAAATTTGGAGTTGTTAGATCTCGCTTAACATAAGCTACAGTGCTTGTTGTTTCTTTGAAGGATCGATTAGCATTACATGTGGCTATAATCAATGCTTGAACAATATTGTTTTATACTGATGCAACTTGGTCCTTTTAGTGTGCCTATGCAAGTCCAACAATGTGCTATGTGCTATCTGCTGTCACCTGTACATGCTCCCCTCCATTTAAGTTTATCAAATGCACTGTCAGATATGGCTCAGATTAATTCTTTCATCCTTGTTTATGTTAACTTTGTGGTACAACAACATTGAGCTGCACTTTCTTTTTGTTGAAGCTCCATTCAAGAAGTGTTTTTCTATATCACCTGTCTTAATCTTTGTTTTGCCACTCAAGCTTTCAATTCACTTTCGCAAACGATCTGTTTCCGTTTCAAGTATGATGACTGAGGAACTTTTTAAAGAATTTTGATGAGAGGTAGTGCTAGAGTTTAAATCTAATGCATGTATAAATTGTTCTTTGTTACTTTTGAAGCAGCTAGCAAGAGTGCGGAACTAGTTTTATTGTGTTGACACTTCTATATAGCTTTTGGGATAGTTTTACACCGACTATGTTTATATATTATTTCCTTTAGTTTTAATGGTGAACTAGAGCTAGAATGGTGAAAACATTCAGTACTTAAAATGATAATATTTTTAAGTTGAACTTTATATGTGAGATCGGTAATGGAGCCTACAGGGGTAGACTGGACCTAGAAATTATTGGAATTGGGCTTGATCTTTTTAATAGTCTTTGACTTGTTTTATATTACTTCACAAACATTGCTAATCTTTTTTTTTTTTATCTACGGGAGTTTATTAGTCTTAATCTTTTTGTAGTCTGGCTCAATAATGAGCACAAAACTGGACTAAGATTAACCAAAGGATCATTGGTCTGGTGGTACCCCCTAACTCTACTGTGGAGGTTGCCTTGGGGGGGGGGGTGTTCAAGTCTCACCAAAGGTGAGAATTATGTGAGTTCTCTTTGCCGTGTATAAATATTATATATCAGAAAAAACTAGACTAAGATTAGCAGTTTGAGTCCCTACTCCAAACAACTAACCAATCACTTAAGCATCTCTTGTCTGATACCAAATTGTTACACATATAGATGGTACTATGGTAGGGATAATAGGGGGCTGGTCAATTAGTCATAAGTTAAGTCGGGTGTTAGGAGAGGTATAAATAGGAGGGTGGAAACCATTATCAGTTTTGTAATCAATTGGGTTTAATCCTTAGGAGAGTTCTTGGCCTCTCGAAAGCCAGAGTGTCTCATTATTATTTGGTTATGAGTGAATAATCAAATCTTACCCTAGTTTTGTTGATAATCAGTAGCAATTTGTAACACAAATCTTGTTTCACATGCATATAAAAGCAAGAATATTTTTTTAAAAGTTTAGACGATGCATAATCAGTAGCCAACTGTACATGGTTGATGCGGAGATAGTGGGCTCAGCCGAGGAGTCGCTGCTGTTCAAAAAAGAAGATAAATAGAAAAAAGCATGTTTTCATATTCGTCTCTAGCAGACTAGCCGTAATCTTCTTTCCTTTTTTAATTTCATCTCCATTTTTTCATTTTGTTCAGACCTTTTGTGCAAACATTCTGTTTCGCACACTTTTTGCAACCCAGCGGTCTTCATGGAAATAGGCAATCTACTCTCTGCGGTGAAGTACTGGTATGCGTACATCCCATCTCTCAATACACCACCTCCCGATGGGATGTACTTGACTCGTTTGGTTTAGAAAAAAACATTCTTATTTGATGGTGGTGGTAAATATGACTTGCCTGGTTTTTGGATCATCATATTGAGGCCTATGTAGCTTATGGTACTTGTTGCTGTATTACCTCCATACAAGAGAATTCGGGATTCCATGTGAGGAATGGGTATGTGTTCATCAGTAATCCGAGGGTCTGTTTGGTTTGCAGACTGGACTAGGCGGGCGAGAGTAAGGTAGGCAGGTGAAAGAATTAAGGAAGGTTTTAAGGTTTTGATTTGACATAGGTATAGTTTAGTAATTTACCAACCTCATCAGTCGTCTCCCTGATCTTTGTTACACCTATTTTGGTTGGAGGTCATGTCCTATCCAATCACAGTCTAATGCCGCATACCAAACTCACCCCGATTGTGGTGGTTCCTAATGTGGGACCCATAGAATACAATCTAGTAAGAGATTCCGAGTGTTCCTTTTTCTTCTTTGGGTTAAATAAAAATCATGGTATATATAAGGTTTCTATTACGAAAAATTGGGTACAAAAATCCATGTCTGACTGATATATGTGAATATTTACTGCAGCCTCCCTAGGCGTAACGAGTCATTCTGGAAAGAGCTGGATCATGTGAAAAATTTATGGAAAAACAAACAAGAGCTGCACGTTGAGCAAGCTGGAATCGCGGCTTTGTTTGGGCTGGAATGCTTTGCATGGTTTTGTGCGGGTGAGATTGTTGGAAGGGGGTTCACGTTCACCGGTTACTATGTCTGATTAATGAGAGATTAAAGTCGGAAAAGAAAAAGCTGTTTTCCGGAAACAACTATAAAAGGCTTTTCTGTGTAATGTTTTACATTATTTTTTGGAAATTTTGAAGGCAGTTGCATCAATAATCTGCATCTTTAGGGTAATATGACTCTATTTCAAAGTGTTTGCAGAATGACAAGAATTGTTTTCTCTTGCAGTTGTTTTGGAAGTGTCTTCATTTTCTAATTCCTTTGCATGATTCATTTGAAACAAGTAGTAGTATCATGAACTTTTTTATATCTTCTAATCCCTTTTTTGTTGGTTAAAATCTATTATTAGTACACGGGGGAGGGGAGGGGCG